ATAGAACCTGGTAAGCGTGGAATTGTCGGCGTTGTCGAAGGTATAGTAGTTATGGGTTTCGTTGACAACATATTTGGGTATAAAGAATGATTGCTCTCGCATGGGAGTGGGTTCCCCGCCTGATGGAACACCATCCCAAGGACCATTTCTGTACAGGATTTCTTGGCCTCTACGTAGAAGATACTGAGGAATCCCGTTACGCTCTTGTTGGTATGTGTAGATTCCCGTGGATGGATCTTAGAGGTTGTTCCAGGAGTTCAGCTTCCAATTTTGACCAGTTTTGAAGTCCCAACCCAGCTTCATACCTGCTATGAGCGAATCACTGGGATGGTCGAAACTCTGCCATGTATATTTTCCATTACTTCCATCCTTAACCACGAGGTTTCCTGTGTTTAAGAGTTGCAAAGTTGGGTCTTTTGCTGATGAATTCGAGGACCATATGGGGTCCTCTGTTTTGTTGCTGAGAATTAATATGTTTCCGCTTTCTGTGATTTTGAGGACACTTGAGGAGTCTGTGAGAGGGGTGTCTCTGTTAGCAACCCAGACGGATGTGAGTTCTGCAATATTGTTGAACCATATTCCCCCGTAGCGGTCCTTGGAATTCGGTGGACTGAAAAAGCCTAATTTGAATTTCTCCCCGGTCGAGACCAGAGTTTGGCCGGTGTCTTGGAGTGTTTGGTTTGGTTTTATGGTGTCGTCAGCTGTTAAGGAATTGTGGAAGCAGATAATAAGAGAGGAGAAGAATAGTATTACAACTGCCTTCATTGATTACGTACAGTTTTATGAAAGCAAATCAGTGTACAATGAGAGGCAAGGCTTTTCTATGCTGCCTTTCTCTATTTTTTTTCCGCTTATCTTTTTATGTTGAAACTTCTCTCCTTGCAGGAAGTTTTATCAGGAAGAGTAAGCTTGACTGATCTATTTGCTTTGTCAAAGTTATTTTGTCAACGATAATATATATTTTTACTTTCCCTATCAATGACACTTTAAAAAAGAGAAAAACAGTGACATAAAGTACATTAGTCTTACCAAGCACTCGCAAAGAAATGCTATGAAAAGCTTGCTAGATTGGAATGGCGCCATCGGTTGAAAAAGTCTCGAGATCAAATCATCAGGAAAATCATGTTTCCAACAATATTTCTCAACGTGATCAAATCATCATGCTATGAAAAGTTTCCTTAGGACTACATTTTCAAAGTTGCGTGTTTAGGACTTTGGCAAGCATTTGTTTGGTTAGAATAATTAATCCTTGCATTGAAAAAGAACGATAACAAAAAAGTGACATACTGATCAGTGTAGAAAATAGCTTTCCCACAAAAATGCAATATTGATGAAGACTGAGGACTAAACTCTCCCTAGATGCTTCAATAGAACACAAAACAGAGAAAAATTATCATATTCGTAGTTAACAATTTTATATGTATTAACTGCGTTGTTTTAGGAATGCTTTTTCACCCACGCACATATACATATAAAATTGCTTTGTTTTCATGTAAATGAGTATTATAATAGGACGATACATAAAAGAAAAGTGGAACATTCCTAATTTCAACAAAAACTCTAAGAATTCGTTTAGAACAATGAAATCTTTCTCATTGCATCAATTTGATCATCTTCTTTTCTCTTCTTTTCTTCTTTTTTTATTTTTTTTATTTTCTATCTCCCCTGTAATATTATCACAGCTATGTCAACTGAAACATGATTCGGCTGAATCATCAATAATGATGAAGAATCAACTGCTTCTACAAAAGCATTTTCAATGTAAAATCCAGGTAGTTTATGCCACCTGATCGGACACCGTTCCACGGCCCGCTTTTGTAGATGATTTTTTGACCTTCGAGTAGAAGTAACTGAGGAAGCCTACGAGGGTCTGATTCATATGTATAGTTTCTGGTTGATGGATCTTAGATGCTTCTTTAGGAGATTACTTCCAATTCTGACCAGTTATGAAGTTATGACCCAGCTTCATACACGCAATGAGCGAATCGCACGGATGGTCTAAACTGTACCGTGTATAGTTTCCATCACTGTCATCTTTAAAGGTTTCCCGTGTTTAAGAGCTGCAAAGTTGGGTCTTTTGATGTTGAATTTGAGGACCATATGGGGTCCTCTGTTTTGTTGTTGAGGATTACCATGTTTCCGGTTTCGGTTATTTTAAGGACGCGTGAAGAGTCTATGAGTGTGCTGACTCCGTTCACAATCCGGGTGAAACATCCTTAAACCATATTCCCACATAGCGGTTCTTGGAATTCGGCGGCCAAATGAAACTTTTCGCCGGTGGAGACCAGAGTTTGGCCAGTGTCTAGGAGAGTTTGGTTAGGTTTTATGGTGCCATCAGTTACTAAGGAATTGTGGATGCAGAAAAGAGAGATTCGTTGATGAAGAATATGACAGCAACGAGCTTCCTTGATTATGTAAGTTAGTTATATGTAAGCGAGTCAGAGTACAACGAGATATTGAGAGGCAAGCTTTTCTATGTTCCCCTGCTCCATGTTTTTTTTTTTTTTCTTTAGTTTATATTTTTTTCACCATTCTTTCAAGTTAAAACTTCTCTCCTTTTAGAAAGTTTTACGGTCTGTCTGGTAAGTGCGAAAGAAAAGAGAATGAAAAAAAAGACATAAAAGAAAAAAAAAATGTGAAGTAAAGAAAAGAAGTTGATCTTTCTTTTATTTAATATGATAAGAGGAAAGAAAATCTGTAATATATTAAATAATTATTTTACTAATTATTTAATATTAATTTAACATTAAAATAGGGGTAAAACAGTTTTTTTAGTCATCAACGGGTGGATTTAGGTTTTTCACTCGATGTTGGAGAGATAAAAATTGCTGTAACCTATAACAATTTTTATCTACCTTATTTTCTTTTTTCTTCTCTTTTCATTCCTACCAAACAATTCATTCTATCATTTTCCTCCCAATATTCCTTCCATCCACTTCATTCTTTCCTCTTTTTTATCCTACCAAACATAACATTATCAGCTGATTGAGACAGCTTGACTGGTCTATTATGGAGCTTTTTTAATTACAATGAAGTTCGAATAAACTAAATTGCACAAATATGAAAAACTAAATTGGTCAATTTAGTTGAGTTTGTTGCGTGCAGACATCCTCAAGTCAAAAAACGGAAAATAGGAGATATAAGTTGTTTTTATTTTTTTGGGTTAATCTCATAAATGGTCTATAAAGTTTAACCTCAATCTACTTTAATTCTTGAATTTTCATACGTCGCATAGTCAATTTAAAAAATTTTATTATATTTCAGTTGCAGTCTTTCTGTTAGATTAGTGTTAAATATTTGATGGAATGTAGTAATTATGGATTAAAATTGAAAACACATTAAGTTTAGAGTATAAAATAATACAAAAAACCAAAAGTTAATTTCCACATATAAACCTAAAATTTTAGTTATTTTTAATTTTGGACTCTAATTTATACAAATTTCATTAAATTTTAACGTTTAGTTGATGGAAAGACCGAAATTAAAACAAAATAAAATCTTAAGAATAATTTGTGTAACGTTTAAAAATTAATGAATAAAATGAGATTGAGTATAAACTCACGGACCATTTATGAAATTAACCGGTCTATTTTTTTTATTTTTGAATGTACCGCGCAAAGCTTCGTCATTGTTATGTGGTCAACGTGATAGCGATACCATTTGTGAGAAGATCGAATGATCATCTTTTTTCCTTTTTTATTTTTTTTATTTTGGCAACTGTAACACAATTACAGTAACAATAACAATGAGCTCCATTTGGTTATATTGTTGCATAAAAGGAAAACAGAGGACAATCAGAAGGCCCAGGGATTAGTTTATTCCGCTTTCTGCTTAACTTATCGTTTCTTTCTTTCAACGAGTGTTCATTAAAAAAGAGGCCACATAGTACATTGATGAAACTTATAATAAATGAAAATAGTAGGAAATAGGCCAATATGAAAAGCTTAAGAAAGTATATAGGCTAATTTTTAGTTATAGAAATTAATAGGTCATAACTTGTTAAGTTATAGTTCATAATTAGATAAGTTATGGACAAACTTGTCAAGTTATGTTTCATAACCAGATCAGTTATGAAAAATATAGTAGGAAATAGGCCAATATGAAAAGCTTAAGAAAGTATATAGGCTAATTTTTAGTTATAGAAATTCATAGGCCATAACTTGTTAAGTTATAGTTCATAACCAGATAAGTTATGAACAAACTTGTCAAGTTATGGTTCATAACCAAATAAGTTATGGACAAACTTGTCAAGTTATGGTTCATAACCAAATCAGTTATGGACAATAACTTGTCAACTTATGATTCATAACCAGACAAGTTATGGACGAAAACAGTAATTTGGCTTATTTATTAACTTATGTAAACTATTGGCCTATTAATTTTAATTTTATCTCAAGTCTTGGCCTATTTTCCTATTTCTCCGTATAATAAATTAAGTCGGAACCTGCTTGCTGCGAAGTGACCGTAGAGCAATTATGTACCTTGTAATGACTGAGAAAATTCCATACCTTAAATAATACAATTCATGTATTTTTAAGCCAAGGATTTTCTTAGAAAATATTATGTTATATTGTGAATGGAGGATTTATGGAATTAATATATGTATTCCTAAATTCTATAGCAAATTTCATGTTAAGTTCATGTTTCGATCAAGTAAATTCGATCGATAAATTCTCGCCGTATTTTAAGGCGGAATAATTTTCAGTACAAGTATAGTTTGAGAATCTTAATTTCAAGAATCTCTAAGCACAGCACGATGTTAGCGGCGTATAAAAAACAAAACGCACTGGCATTTTAAAAGAAGAAAAAAATCCTTAATTGCTAGACAGTTAGGTTAAAGTCACAAGATAAATACCTATAGTAGATGGATACAATATGAGCTCGGGAGTTGACACTGTCAGAAACGTCATTCTTGGGATAGAATACAGAAAATTAAAATTTAGAATTTGTTCAGTCTAAAATTAATTTCAAGACTTGAAACAGTTTGAAATATTACGCGAGTAAGAATATAAAACAATATTGAATTATTCAGAAATTGATATTGGACTGTAGTAGTAGATTAACTTACGTGAGCTAAACTAATTACCTCTAATCAGTATAAATTTAATCTGTTTAGAAGAAATAATTGAGGATAAGATCAGGCACGTAATCTTGCCTTAATCAGATACTTTATATAGTGAAATTTTTAGGGTTCTTACACTTTCTTTCTCTTATTCTCGCTCATTCTCTCTCTCCTCTCACGTTCTC